TCCCTCAGCTCTCACCAGTGAAGCTTTCTTATACAACAGAGTGTGAGTCATACAGGAGGCCACAACAGGCTAAAGTTAAAAGAATGAAAGACTACAGAGTGTGTGTCCTTCCAAAGAACCCTTATACTAAACCCCACCCACCCATGGCTCAGGGACCATTACAGAAAAGGAGGCAGAAAGACTGTAAGAGCCAGGGTGGATAATAAAAATAGGTAAACAGAAGCATTCAGGTAACTGGAAACTTGCTCCTGTGAACTTGTGGCAATGGTAGCATCATGCACAAGACCCATGTTGTTTCAATCAGACAAGGTCTCAGCCTGGAGCAGTCAAAATGAATGATGGGCTGGCCCTAGCTTGACAATGGTTGGAATGCTGATTGCTGCTGTGTGATGGAGAGTAGACCTTTCTTAAGATCTCTAGATAGACTGACTCAACTCCAATGGATGAACTTGTATTGAAGGACATCTGGGTACAAATGCTTGATTGGATATGTCTTAACATGTATGGCTGAATGAATGAGGTGTTGTTGGGGGTTGCAAAGGACATGGATGTGGAAGGGGATGTAAATCTGATTAAGAACTGTTGCATGAATTTTAATATATATTTTAAATAATTTATTTATTATTTTTATTTTATGTGTATGTTTGTTACACCTGCATGTAAGTGCACTTATGTCATGCAATGCCCACGGAGGACGGAAGAAGATGTCGATCCCCTGGAACAGAAGTTACAGACAGTTGTTAGCTGTCATGTGGGTGCTGGGATTCAAACCTGGGTCTTCTGAAAGGACTGTCATGTGGGAGACAGGCTTGAGCCTAGGGTGAAAGTCTTATTGAGAGCCATACAGCAGGCCTGAGGTAATGGCCTGACTGCTGGAGCCACAAGGAAGGCCTTGTGACATTTTGCTACCATTGGTAGATCGTGAGACTGATGCCTAGAGCTCACCACTCCCTAATCACCACCTTTGGAATCAAGGTATCCTACTTGATGTACTGTGATAGGATGCTAAACCTGTTATGCTAATAAGGTATCCTACTTGCTGTGCTGTGATTGGATCACTATCCCTATATAAGCTTGTGCCTTCCTGCAATAAAGCAGACCTGTGTCCCTGAATCTGGTCTCCTGTGTCTGAATGCAGCTCCGCTGACACAGTCTCCTCACCAGCCCTGGGGTCTGGACCAGACAACTGATCGGAGGAACTAAGAGAGCAGGAGAGCAGCCATAGCTGGAGGAGAGCAGACACAGCCAGTGGCCACACTGGCAGCATTCTTAACCACTGAGACATCTATCCAGCCCCCCAATTAAAATATTTTAAAAAATCAAAGTAGGGTCCAAGCTGCTCCTTCAGATTTCTCCCAGAACTATGTTCACTGAAATTTTCTCTTGGAACTCTTCTGTCTGGAACAAAGGCCTTGTTCTCTCTTTGTTAAAACAATGCATCAAGGTTGATATGGGGAATGAATAATCTATTCTATCATCTTTTCATAAGCTTTTTCCCTGTTTGACCCCTTTGGAGCAGAAGGGCATGCATGACCAAAAATAGATCTTTTTAATATAAACCTACTAGATTTTAGAAACATAAATGAAATAATTCCTTGCTTCCAATGAATAGTCACTGTTTTCTGTGCTTGATATTTTCATAACTCTCTCTCTCTCTCTCTCTCTCTCTCTCTCTCTCTCTCTCTCTCTCCCTCTCCTCTCTCACAGACACATGCACACTCACATTATTCTGACTTTGGGCATGGAAGGCTCAGAAGTGATTAATGATATTTTTTAGGCTACAAAAGGATCCCAAGACACAACAAGCTTGTTTATATCATAAATAAGTGGAGATAGTATTAAAAGATCACAAAACATAAGATTCAATTTGGTTAGAGTTTAGGTAAGATTCCCTTTGCCCAGAACTATCATTCAGAGCCTGTCTCCCCTGCCACACCCACACACTTATTTTTTTTAAAAATAAGCACCATGTTACTTGTAACAGAAGTTATTCCCAGAAAAGCTATTCCTACAAGATTGAAGTCAGGTCAGTCAGGCATAATGGGAACACTTTCCCATAAATATGTACTTATAGTCAAGTGACACAAGTGGAAGGATTACACACACACACACACACACACACACACACACACACACACACACACATACACGTAATCTGATCGAGGGTTGAAAAAACCGCATAGCATATTGCTCAGGGGATTTGCTGCTTGCAGTGATTTTGAAGACCCAGGGTATACCCCAGAAGGCTGATTTCCTTCATTTCCTGATTAGATGATTTGTCTCATTTGTGATAGGATAATGAGGGAGGTAGACATTTTCTCAAACCATGACTCCCAGTCGATTAGTTTTTTTACAAAGTAACTACAAAGCTTTGCTAATATAACTAAAAGTTTGTTTACATCATGAAAATTTCATAGAAAACTCTATGATTTGCTAGAATAATTAAATATAGAATACAATTATTCTTGTGAAACATCCGATTCTAGATTATATGGTTAATAAAGATAAATATTTTGTGTTTGAAGATACTGGTAAACAACCCAAAAGAAATCTACCATAAAATGATTTTTTTTCTACAGTTGTAATAGGTTCCATAGAATCTTTCCATACATATGTGGAAAAAATTCACCTTCACATAATTAGAAGTAGTGCTATCCTAGATTGCAGGAATTCAGTTGACAGACACATATGGACCACTGCTGTGTTAAGATTTCCTGGGGAGAAGCAAAACATAGCAGACAGGAAAGCAAAGATAGACCAAAGTCTTGATTCCATCACAGTCCAACTTGGTGAGCCAATGAGTTTATTGTAGTTTCTTAGGACAAGGGCATGGAAGACTCAAAGGCAGCCTCACCAAGAAGTTCCTTATCCCCCTTCCCTGGCCAACCATTGCTGAAATCTCCCTAAAACTGCATCCCTGGTATTCTCTGCTTGATTTACAAGAAGAATGACAGATCAGGGAGTATCTTCCAGGCAGCTAGGATGTTCAGACAGGCTCCTTCCCATACCAGTTGTTTACTGCTTCTATAGTTTTTAGGAGAGGCATTAAAATTTTTAAAATTGAGGCCTCTAGAACTTGAAAGTTTGTTTTATTCTGAGTCTCATATGCTTCCCCACTCTTTCTTGGACGGAATGTTTATATTCAAAGGAAATTGCTGCACCATATGAATACAGCTTTTTATTCAAAGGAAATTGCTGAACCATATGCATACAGGTTTAGACCTCACCACTGTCTTTATGCTAATAATTTCAATATCTGAGGTTATTGTTTGTCTTTCAGAACTTGGTTTTTGTTATCTTCCTCCAGGTGTGTCTTTGCTTCAAGCATCTCTTCTGATGCTACTTTATATATTGTGTTAAATCTCCAGAATGTTGTGTACCTAGTTGTTGCCGTTTCTACTGTTGTTCTTCCTCAATAGTAGAAAAACTATCACAGTACATGACTTTATGTTAGTGGTTGGTACACTGTTCTTTAAATTTTTTTTTGAGACAGAGTTTCTTTGTAGTCCCAGCTGGCCTAGAACTTTCTATGTACACCATGCTGACCTCAAGCTCATGGAGCTCTGCCTTCCTCTGCCTCTGCCCTGATGTTCTGGGGATAAAAATGTGTGCCACCACAATCATGATTACATTATTTATTAAGTGAATGAACCAGAAAGAATGAGTTTGCAAATTCTTAGAGTAACATAAAGTTCCATTAAGGTTACCTGATCAAGATTATAAAATTTCTAGTTTATCCATTAGAAAACCTACGTTTTCAATTTCATTGTTTAATCACCTGGTCATAGGACCATCCATAGGAAGGCAGGTTAATATTAAGTCATGCTAACTAGATGGGTGGAATACCTAATGCATTAATGAGATAGTGAACTTTTTCTGCCTGGAATCCTGCCTCCTAGTGCAGTGCTTCTGGACCCAGCCACAGACATGCGTGTCTCTATAAGACTGCCTATTTTTCTGAATTCTTCAGAAAAGCACAATCTCTTCTTTTTTCCTTCACATCCCTTTTCTAAGCATGCTTGCTCTAATGCTTTGGATTGCCCCAGGACCTTCTTTTTTTCCTCTGAAGCATCCATCTCCCTGCCATGTGGATGCCAGTACCACACGTGTCTGACCTCCAAGCAGGCTCTAAACTTGCAGGGTTTCTTCGTTTTTTCCTTGTCCCCACCATTCATCTCCTCTGCTCTTTCTCCCTTGTACTAAAATAAGCAGATCTGAAATCTTACCAGGAAGAATAACCAATCATTTGAAAAGTTGTACTACAAAATTCAAATATTATATCAAAGAATTGCAAAATGAGTATGTTGATTTTATATGTTAACTTGATACAATCAAATTTTCTGGCCATAAAAATATTAACAATTCTCTTATGTTCTTACTTCTGTGAATGCATTAAAACAATTCTCATCTCGAAGGGATAAGACATAGTTTATTCTGGAGCCAAATATGAGTGAGCATGGCCAGGGAACAGAGATTCAGATTGGTTCATATCCAAATTCCAATGTGGAAGCAGTTTCATGGAGTATTTATAGTAACAAAACAAAGAAAAGTTGTAAATCAAGACACTTTACAAAAACAATGGTGGAAACATGAAATAACAATTATAGTAAAAGAAATCTAAGCTATAGATCTCAGACACTGATGACAGTCAGCCTTTAGGTTGGTGAGAGCTAGGGGTTTGTTAATTAACACACTCCAAAAAGTTTTTATATGTTAGTCACAGGATGCTTAATTAGAAAAAAAATAGCCAAAGACTGGGTATTTAGATGGTCAAAGATGAATGATAATTAGACTCTTGTAGATGCCAAACAGTCTACAATCATTGAAGTTCTAATCAATTGATCAGCCTCTGTGGAATGTTCCATTTTAAAATGCAGGCTTTTCTGAAAACTTTTGTTCACATTTCCTCAAGAAAAATTTAATCTATCTCTGTCTTTCCAAAGCTGAAAATTATAAAACTTGGCTGCAAATGGTGATGCACTATGCCACTGGAAGATACTTTAAAGTTTTATAAGAAGTGAGACCCTTGAACAAATATATAACAATCTCTTCAAAGCCCATTTGACATCAGCATTCCTCAAGCTGTAGATCACAGGATTAAGTGCTGGAGGCAGCAAAGTGTATATCAAAGCAAGCAGCCTGTCTGTAATTGTTGGAGAATTAGATGATGGCTTCAGATAAACAAAACAAGCAGTTGCAATGAAAATAGTGAAAACAATGAGGTGAGGCAGGCAGGTGGAAAAAGCTTTGGATTGACCTTTAGTGTTAGGAATCTTCAGCACAGTCGAGAAAGTGTAAAAGTAAGAGATCACAACACAGATGAAACATGACATGCATAGACACAGACCAATTCCAATACTTGTATAAATGACCACCAGTGTACCAGAGCAGGAAATCCTCAGTAATGAAGGAATGTCACAGAAAAACTGTGGGATCACATTGGAGCCGCAGAAAGGCATGGAAAATGTGCCAGCTGTGTATACAGCACCAAAGAATGCACCAGTGGCCCAGGAAAAGCCTGCCATCAACACACAGAGATCATCACTCATGATGGACTCATAGCGTAGGGGACAGCAGATGGCTACATAGCGGTCATAGGACATGGCAGTCAGGATAAATATCTCTCCCACTGAGAAAGAAGTCATTAAAAGTATCTGGAAGGCACATCCTAGGATTGAAATGGAGCTGCTATGAGTTAGGCTATTGACAATGAAATTGGGGATTGGGACTGACACAAGGAAAACATCCAACAGAGACAAATTCTTTAGGAAGAAGTACATGGGTGTTTGGAGCTGCAGGTCCAGAGTGATGAGAGTGATGATGAGGAAATTACTCATTAGTGCTGCCAGGTACAGCACCAGGAAGACCACTCCGCACAAAGTTTGCAGTTCCTTGACATTGGAGAACCCCAGAAGGATGAACTGGTTAACTGCAGTGACATTGGGCATTGTGGGTTCTTCTCATTGCCTGCCAGGTTATGAGAAATGAAGAAAAACTTGACACATTCTGAAAGAATTACACTGATAATCAGAGACACTAAGTGGAAATAATGTCAGGAAACTACTTTATACTTTTTAACCACTTTAAGCTTTACCTACAATTCTCTTTCAATCCTTTCTTCCTCTCATACCTACACCATCCACACCATCTCCTCTTTCACTTTAAAGCTTATTTATTTCTAAAAATTATTTATTTTTTATGTGTATGAATGTTTGTCCTTCCTGTATGTACATGCACTCATGTCGTGGACTGTCTTTGGAAGCCAGAAGAGGGTGTCAAATGCCCTGGAACTAGAGATAGAGATCATTGTTAGCTCCCATAAGCATGCTGGAAACAAAACCCAGGTCCTCTTTACAAAAGCTGCCAGTCTTCTTAACAACTAAACCATCTCTCCTGCTCATTAATGCCTTTTTACTATTCCTTTCTTTTTCCCTTGCTATCCTCTCTTCTTCTTTCTATCTCTTTCTCATCTGTCTTTCATCCTATGAGATTTACTTACTGCCTTTTTTTGTTGTTGAGAACGTGTTCTGGCACTGAGTTACACACCTCATATTTATGTTTGAAAATGAAAAATAACATTTATGTTTAATTATTTTAATTATTTTGTTTATAGAATTTTGAAAGAAAAATAAGAATTTTTCATGTTTGATGATCATTTCATTTCCACTTAAGTTGCAATAAATTGTTGGTTTATGATTACTGAATATATGTCAATTCTTAGAAGATAAGATTTTGAGTGTCTGAACAATAAGGGCAGTAGAAATGTTCAAGGTAATACATATGCAAACTACCCCATACATATTATAAAAATGTGTCAATGCAATACATTATTCCTATAATGTATACAATTATTGGGTCTGTATAATTAAATAAATGGAAAAACAGAAATATATAATTTAAAATATAAAATGGAAGACTTGCATTCATTCTTGTAGCCTCATCCTTACCTGACCATAGGTGGGTACCTTTAGTCAAAACAGAAATTTGTACTAATTTATTGAGCATTTGTGTCAACTGTTATTGTATTATATTTAATTACAATATTTTATAAAAAATGTTATAGAGACATATGTGTTGCTTTTCCTAAACCTTTTAACTATTCACTTGAAACTTCACATGCTCATTGAGTAACAAACTGCAGGACAATAGTTTTATATCTCTCCCTTCATTTTGTTTGTTTCCTTTGTCTTAATCTTTGGATCAGAGCATTGCTCAACTTGCATTTAGTTATACTTATTCAATAAGAGCTCACATAATGTTTGTAATCATCTTCCTTGAAACTGAAGACAAGAGACAAATAGATCTATTGAATATACTTGATCCTGGTTTCAGTGAAAATGTTTCAAGTTTTTCTCCATTTAACATGACCTTGATTGTGGGCTTGTATTATAATGCCTTTATTATGTTGAGATATGTCTCCTATACCCTTAAATGTGCCAAAATTTTTGTTGTGAAGGAAAGTTTGATTCACATTATCCCAGACACCCCTCAATCATTAAAGGACATCGCTATTGTTTCTGGTTGCCCACCAGATCACAATAATAAGACCCTATTCCTGAAGATACTACATATATTGATCATAGGACATAGAGATACCAAGTAGTTACTGACTAAAAAGCTTCCTCACTGTAGTCTAGCTATCTTAGTAATGGAAGATGCCAAGTGATATTCTTGGTAAAAATAAATAATAAAGAGCTGTGAACCATGTGAACTGTCAAAATGAGCAACATGTCAAGATGTGTCTATGGGTGTACTAGTGACACAAATGTTATCAAGATAAAAAAACATTTTCTGATTGGATTTAGGCTTATTCCTTAGGTAAAACATGTGTGGTACCGCAAATCTGGTACCTATGGATGGGGAGGTCATAGGCCTCAGGATTGACCCTACTTCTATTATTTTGCTAAAGAGACATATTATCAAAGAACTCTCTAAATTTATATCTCTCTAACTATAGATTACTGAAGTGCTGAGACCTCATCAGAGAATTGTCTTTGTGAAGTGTATCAGTAGTTGTCACCAGAGTTCTCTTGGGGTCTCTTGTGCTATCAGGCAAACCACATAACATATCTTTATGTGCATTTATTATTGTTGTGGGGGTGGAGAGGAGAGTGACTTACAGGGAAATGAGAACCCGTTGTCTAGCCCTGCGCTTAGCTCTGCACTGCTCCTTGGCTCAGAGCACCATATCAGACTGCTCCATTCTATGCCCATAGTCACCTCTAGCTTTTGCCCGCACCTCAGGGGCCAGCAGTTTCACCCAAGGTACATAAGTGCCAGGACATTCTGCCCTTGAGTATGCTGCTATGCGTTCCTCATGTCTGTCGTCATGCCCTACCTGTGGCTCAGGGCTTCCATCCCAAGATGGCCCCCAGCTGCACCTCAGTAGCTCATCCCCCATGGCAGGCCCCATCCCTCAGGAGAACCAGCCACCTGGGAGACAGTACTTAACAGAAAAACTCACAACTGGTGGAAGTGAAGAGAATAAATGTCTGCAAAATACCAAGCAACAAATAAGACATCTATATCACACCCTCCCTAGGCTTCATGGAACCTCATGGAATGGGGCACCAAAAGACTATAAGAGCCAGAAGGCAAGGAGGACCAGAAAAAAGGCTTTTTCTTCTGCACATGACAGGTGACAGAATTATTGCACTCATGATCTCATTTTCTTGCAGAAGACCTGATGAGATCAAGCCAGTCTCACTCTAGCATTGAGTTGGGTCATGATCCCCCATCCCAAAATAGGAGCTATGGAGAGTTAATGGATCCTGAGGGAGGGAGAATCAATTTTCTTTAAACATTTGGCTCCTGGTAGATGACCATGATCTAGTGGATGGCCCAACACCCAGAACAAATTGGAGCAAATTGATTATTAAATTGAAAACAATGAGTGCTCAGGCTTCCCTGCTGGCTAGTAGGGGCCTGGAGATCCCTGATTTGGGACCACCTGAAGGCCCTCCCAGTGATCCAGGACTTAGGATTTCCTGCTGACTTGTAGGGAGCTGAACATCCTTTTGTGTCTCCTCTCCTTGGACCTTGAAACTATTCCTCAGAGGCTTGAAGTGTGTTTAGTAAGTGAGAGCTGTGAGAGCTCCTGAGTGTCCTCACTGGATTCATCTGGTCCCTCCAATATAAAATCAAAAGAGAGAACATGAAGCCTAGTCCAACTAACTTTTCATACTCAGTCAGAAAGCAACTAAGATACATCAATATTGCACACAGCATCAAATTTCAACTCAACAAATGTAGGCTTGAGATCCATACAACAATCTCAAGCAGAAAAGAAATCCACATGTCAAAATCACAATGATAAGATAATAATATGAAAAACCAAAATGATATGTCCCACCAAATACCACCAGTCTTATTGAAGAGTTTTACAATGAGAACTACCTAGAGGTAACCCAGTACACAGAATTTAAAAGAATAATCATAAACATGATCAAACAATTCAACAAATTTAAAAAATACGCAAGCAAACAACTTAAAGAATTAAGACATTAGAGATCAACTTCTGACTGAACTCACGAAAGAGCTGGAAATAGTGAAGAAAAATCAGGCTGAAATAAAGAATGAAGGGAAAACTCAACAAACCAATTAGAAATTACAGGAGAAAGTCTCTCCAATAGAGTAAATGAATTGGAAAGCAGAATATCAAAAACTGGACTATCAAGTTGAAGAATTGAACTCCTGAAGCAAAGAATATGAAAAAAAATTAAAGCACAGAAATCAAATATGCAAGGAATGTGGGATAACATGAAAATAACAAATTTATTCATCATAGGCATAGAGAAAGGAGAAGAATCCCAGGTCATTGACGTTGATCTTTACTTATAGAAGAAAATTTCCATAAATTAAGAAAAGACATATCCTTAAAGGTACAGAAGGCACATAGAACACCAAGTAGACAGGACAAATAAAGAAACTCTCCATTCATATCATACTAAAACCACTAAATATACAGAGAAAATATTGAAAGCTGCAAGAGAAAAAATGAGTCAGATATAAAGGAATACTCATCAGAAATACAGCTGACTAATCAATGAGAACTGTGAAAACCAGAAGAACCTGGACCAAAGTATAAGATGTTCTAAATGATCATGCTTGCCAACCCAGAATACGTTACCCCAAAAAACCTGTCAATTGCACTTGAAGGGAAAATAAAATTCTTCCATGACAGGAATAGACTGAAAGAATTCATAGCCACTAAAACAGCCCTACAGAGAATATTTGAAGCAGTACAAAGAAAGGACTGAAGAAAGAACTATACCCAAGAGGCAACAGAAAGAAAGTAAAGGGAGGTATAATTGTGTAACACATTTAGACCAAGGATGAAAACAGAAATTAAAAAAAATAGAAACTAATGTACATCTTTCAAAAACAACTTTAAAAATAAATGGCTTCATTACCCAAGTAAAACAACATGAGTAAGCTTAACGTATTGGGAAACAAAATCCATCCTTTCATTATCTTCAAGAAAAATAATATCTTTCAAGGACAGACACTTAGTGTGAAAAGATGTTAAAAATATTGTAAGCAAATGCCACAAATATACAAGCAAGTGCTGAAATTCAAATATCAAACAAAATAGACTTCAAGTTAAAATTAATCAGAAGTGGTAAAGAGTTTCACTTCATTCTAATCAAAGGAACAATTGACTGAGAAGATATTACAATCATTAACAAATATGCCCCCAACTCTAATGCAGCCAATTTCATAAAAACAGTACTATAGGACAATAAGACACAGATTAACCCCAACTCAGTATTACTGGGTTTCTTTGAGACCCCATTATCTCGAATAGACAGGAAAACTTGACTAGGAATAAACAGAAAGAGACATCTGAATTAAATGATTATTACTATTACTGAATAAATGAGTCTAAGAGCTGATTCTTTGAAAAGATAAACTAGATATATAGACCCTTAGCCCAGATAACCAAAAG